GTGAAAACGGAGCCCAGGGAGGCCATCACACAGGGTTTCAAAAATTGTTTGAACCTACTCTGTGGGTGTGGCCTGCTTTCCGGGTCCACTGGTGGAACCTCTTCTAACCAGTTCAGTAGATTTTATGAACCGGTTCTACCGAATAGGTACGAACTGGTAGGAACCCACCTCTGCCATCACAGCCAAAAATGGAGCCTGGGCAAGCTGTGCTCAGCCTCACCAAGCTTTTTTCACTGGCCAAGGATTGCAGGAGGCCATCATTGCTGAAAATAGAGCACGGGAGGGCTGCGCTGGCAGAGGCATCGCAGGCCTGTCCTTCGCTGTTTCCAGGGTGGGCCCACAGGCCATATCTAAGCACACCACTGGTGGGATCCAGCCCATGGGCCTTTGACACCCCTGGCCTAGAGTGTAGGAATGAGGTGACATGCAAACTGTAGAAAGGAAGTACATATATACATAACTACAGAAAATCTAAAACCTCCATAATGCAGACACAGAATTACCTATCTTGGCCCAAGGCTGGATTGTAAAAAAATTTTTTAAAAAACCCAGATAGGTCATTTGCATTCATGGTACTGCTTTCATTCATTTCCATCTAGGATAAAAGTGCTGATTAAGTATCTCTAACCTTTAATAATGGGATAAAGCTTTCATGACATTCCCACTGTGCGTCCAAAGGATTTATCAAACTGAACATCATTAAATCAAAGAGCCTTTGCTAAAAGACAGCTTACCTGATGATACCTGCTTCAGTGCAGTTTTTGAAGTGCTTAACACCCCTGAATCAACATTCCATTTGATGGGGAGGTTGAATCATTAGGATCCTTCAGTTGACATTCTGGAACATCTGTCTGATGAAAAGAACAAAGAAAAAGAAACATCAGGAAGCTTGGCACAGAAAAGAAAAATAATTGCTCTTTTACATTTTGATTAATTTCTCTTGTCCACCCAAGGCACGGTGATTGCATTTGAAGCCAGGGGCTTTCCTTAAAACATTATTAAACCAGTTTATGGTTTGGTACAGACCAAGCATGAGACTTATAGAGTAAACAGTGTCTAATATAATTCTGCCTTTACGTGATATATGAACAGTACAATTTCAGATGCTGCTTCCTTCTGAATGGACAACTCATGACTAGCAAACTTCATGAGGATCCCTAGCAATTTTGCAACTCTTGTAGCATCTCCATATAGTAAAAGACCTCAGCGGCAAAGCCACTGATTTTTCCACATATTTTTTTTAAAATAATAATAAAATAAGGTGTAAAATTGATGCCTTTTAATTTCTTGGAACTTCATCTGATTTTTAACATTCATCATGTCCCTAAATTGGATGGAATAGTTTCATATCACCATCACCATCCAAATTTTCTGTGGTCTTCTCAGAGGTCAAAGGGTACTTAAAAATTATACAAGTAGCTGCTAACATAAAAAGAGTTGTTCCCCTGGTTTTAAAGGGAAGTTGAAGAAGGATTGATTGCCTGAGATGCGGGATTCTACAAACACATATAAAAATTCTTCATAAGAGACTCTAGACTGATTCTGAAGTTTCCTGGGATCTAGGACTGAGAGGGAGTGATTGGCCCAAGGTTACCCAATTGGCTTCCCAATCATGCTTCCCAGTTTCTAGTCTAGTACCTTAACCACTATGTCTTCTATAAGGTACTCGACCAAGGTACTATAGTATAGTACCTTAACCACTATGTCTTCTATACTATGCACCAAATATACAGAATAACAGAGTTGGAAAGGACCTTGGAGGTTTTCTAGTCCAATCCTTTGCTCAAGCAGGAGACCCTATACCAGGGTTGTCAAACTCACAGCCCATGGCCCGGTTTAGCGAAGGGAAAAAAGTTGTGATATGTCACATGGTGCCGCCGTGACAATGCAAGTTGTCCATTCTGGACAAATGGCTGTCCAATCTCTTCCTAAAAACTTCCAATAATGGTACATCCACAACTTCTTGAGTGAAGCTCTTCCACAGATTAATATTTACTGTCAGAATGTTTTTTTATTCGTTATAGGTTGGATCTCTGTTTAACGATCTTCTATCCATGGCCCTCAGGTGCTATGGAGAATAGGTTAACCTCCTCTTCTTTGGGACATCTCTTAAATATTGGAAGACTGCTACCAGGTCACCCCTAGTTCTTCTCTTCTTTACATAACACATTCCCAGTTCCTGAAATGGTTTTGCAATGTTTTATCCTCCAGTCTATTCAAACAACAGCAACCTCTTTCTAGGGGATCCAATGAAATATCTTTACAAACAGAAGAAAGCTTCAGCATATTGATTAAGAAATATTTTAATATTTTTTTTTACTATAATAGTAGCAAAAAGCCCCTTCCAGTGTCAGCAACATGTGCTGTTTGATAAAAAGAATTTTCTTGCTGGAGGAATACATTAGCAATCAAAGCCAAGCCCAGAACGTTATGTAAGGACATAAAAGTATATCAGATGCTCTTTTTCCCATACCACCCACAGTTATCTGTTTCTTAGTTGCTTTTAAAAGCTTTCACCTTTATTAGAAGCCAAATTGATGTTCTCAGCATGCAGTAAGTCTTCCTATGGAGCTCCCCGTCCTGTCCCCTGCCAGCTTCCTTGGTCACTGCAGTGCTGTCGACTTTTACTTTGCACTTTAATTTCAACTTCCCACAGATGGCAGAGAGAAACCAAAACAGAAATGAAAGGCTGGCCTGTGGTAGTCTAGATTTTATAGGGATAGAAGCACTTGTCGTGAGTCAGCTTACATCTGGTGAGACTTCTTTTTTTTTTTTTTGCATAACTTGGCACATTAAGGAAACACTTCGTAAATTGTTAGAAAGCCATTAAGGGCATCTTTGTGCTTAAGTGAATGTTAGGAAAGAGGCAGAATGTGTTTTGAAGAGGTTTGCATCTGCCTTTTTTTTTACAGCTGTCTAAAAAAATATGCCCAATTATATGGCAAAGGCTTTAGAACAAGCATAGAGAACCTTAGGTCCCACAAGCCTAATCCAGCCTGTTGATTCACAAAGCTTCCTCAAAACTGTATTACCTTAGTGCCATCTGAAGCAAGTGCTCTGTTTGCAGATGGCCAAAGAAGAAAATGGATGGATGAAATGAAATATATTTCAAAAGGCTTTTCATGGATCTTAATGGAATAAAAACAGTTTCCTAATTTAAAAATGGAACAGTGCATGCCTCTTTCAAAATTTTATGCTATAAAACTCTGATAAAACAGAATAACTAATGGGTCAGCTTTGCTCATTCAGTCAAACTTGAAGTAACTCTCTGGGTCAAATACAATAACTGCAATATACACACATCTCCCCCCCCCCAAGGTGCATATTATTAACCTTCAATTTCCCCTTTAGTTGATTAAAGAGATATTTCTTCATGTCTTGTACAAATAGATGCAAGGAATTTCATTATCTCTTGACCATACATATTAAATATAAAACAAACTGTGAAAGAAGGAATCCCAAGTATTTCATCTTTCCATTCTCATTTGAGTGGACTAGATAAGGGATTTAATACTTTTGCTGCTTCGCACTTCAAGTTTGATCAAGTACCCCAAAGTCTTAAAAATGAAAGACACAATAACCAAGGGCCTCTTAATGCCTCACCATCAAAAACCAGCACTGTTACTAGTTCCCCACACTTGTTTTGAATAAATCCCTTGCCAGAGTAGTAGACATTTTGTTCTGTTGTAACAAGATTAACAATGATGAGATGAACACCAGAGTTTTCATTGAATGCATCTATTCTGATGTAGCTTAGGTTCAATTAAATGTAACTATTTGTGCACAGCCGGTATAATATAAAAAGGAAATTACTGTGCATGATCTCTTGGGAGATATAGTATTTTTAGGCTATGCATAGTTGCTTCACAGGGATTTATTTCTGAGTAGATACACAAGGGAAGAATACTAGGAATGCTAGTAAGCAAATACCAGAACTATGCAAAGCTTCAAATGGGTGCTTTGTTTGACATAAAACACTCCACTACTTTTTCAACACTAGTAAAAACAAAGATACTACAATGCTTTGCATGGCATCACTTGAGGCCCTGTCTAGCAGTTTGAATCAGAAGAGAGTTCAGTGCACGTAGTAAATTACTGGAATTCTATGGAAGCCTTTGGGGAGAACTCTGTTTTAGGAACTGGAACTGCTGGATGAGGACTTGGAAACAAGTAGGGTCAAATGGTTAAACTGAATTGTTTTGCTCTAGGGCTGTGATGACGAACCTATGTCACACATGCCAGTGGTAGTACGCAGCGCCCTCTCTGTGGGAACGTGAGCCGTTGCCCCAGTTCAGGTCCACTGCGCATGCATGTATGCCACCTGCTGGCCAGCTGGTCTTCAGGTCTCTGCCATGCATGCACGGGGGGCAGGGGCATGCGGGGGGAGCATGTGCGCATGCATGGGAATGAGGGGTGTGCGTGGGAGTGGAGCATGTGCAAGCGTGGGGCACATCTACATGGGGTGCATGGTGCATGCATGGATGCGACACATGCATGTGCAGGGAGAAAGTGCGGGAGCCACATGCGCATGCTCAGGGGGCATGGAACATGTGAGGCATGCACATATGTGCATGGGAGTATGGGGGTTGCTTTTCATGTGTGAGAGGCTGGGTGCATGCACAGATACCATGTGTGCATTGCATTTTGGGAGTTGTGATGCTTTGGGTGTTCAGTCCAAAAAAGGTTAGCCATCACTAGAGGTTAAGACTCCAATCTAGAAACCAGGAGATTCTGAATTCTAGTCCTTCCTTAGGCATGAATGCTGGTTGGGAGACTTCAGACTAGTTGTTCTTTCTCAGCCCAACCTTCCACACAAGATTGTTGTTGTGGGGAAAATAGGAGGAGGAAATATTAAGTATGTTCACTAACTTGAGTTACTTATCCAAATAATAAGGTGGGTTATAAACAAACAGTCTCTGATCCTCAAGTACTCCTCAACGTACGACCACAATTGAGACCAAAATTGCTGTTGTTAAATGAGACATTTGTTAAGTCAGTTTTGCTCCATTTTATGACAGTTCTTGCCACTGTTATTAAGTGAATCACTGCAGTTGTTAAGTTAGTAACCTGGCTGTTAAGTGAATCTGGTTTCCCAATTGACTTTGCTTGTCAGAAGGTCCCAAAATGGGATCACATGTCCCCAGGACACTGAAACCATCATAAATAGGAGTCAGTTATCAAGCATCTGAATGTAAATCACATGACCTTGGGACACATGAAGGTCATAGATGTGAACCAGTTGCCAAGCATCTGAATTTTGATGACATAATCATGGGACTGCTGTGGAAAATAATCATAACTGTGGAAAACGGTCATAAGTGATTTTTTTCAGTGCTGTTGTAACTTTGAATGGTCGCTAAATGAACTGTTGTAAGTCCAGGACTAACTGTATTAAATACTTCAATTTTTTAAAAATGCTAAAAATATCCTATCAGCCATATCGCAATGTATATAGCTGAAATCCAACCGGAAATTCCAATGTTGGCAGCACTGCAGTCAGAAGCCCAAAATCTCAGCCCCTGATGACATTGAAATGGCGACAGATTGCTCCTACCATTAGAGCTCCAAATGCTTAACTCTGGAGGGAGATCCTGATAAAAAAAGAAATAGAAATGTAACTCCTTCCCCTATTTGTTTATTTAGTTAACAAGCCATATATGTATATATTAAAACAGTTTGAAGGGTTGCTGTTAAAAATCAACCTGTTTGAATTTTGTTCCACAAATTGGGCTAGGCATTTATTTTTAGCACAGGCTTCAAAGTGGTGTGGCAATATATTAAAGGCAATTGTGGCTTGAATTTGCTTATTGATCTCTTTAAAGGTTACCCAGCATGAGCAATAACTGTATAATCAGTTGCCAACATGAGGTGATGTCAGAGATTAATATCTGAAACAAGAAATTAAAAAGGGGTGAAAGATAAATTTATTGTAACCTGATTTGAAATTTGTAAGTAGCAGTGTACCCTATGCCACCTTTGAAAAATGGCTGTCAATATTCTGAAATCGCCTTTATAGATTTGTGATTAACTTCCAGTTATGGTCTTATTATCCAGTTCATTAGGAGGGGGGATGTTGAGTGCCCAAATCTATAAATGATGGCTGAGATGCAGCAACAGTAATTAATTAATTAATTAATTAATCAATCAATCAATTAATTATATGATGTATAGAACTGCCATTTCCCAGCAGTGACTCTGCTTTGAGTACGAACATTAAAACAGGGAGGGGGGAAATCAACTTACCTTCGCTACCAGTTCGCAATTGTGAGCATGCACGCACAGGACCTTCCACGCATGCGCAGATAGTTAAAAACAGGACTTGATTACCTCCAGGCAGGTGGGCAGAGCTTCGCCCGAACTGGATAGAACTGGCTGAATTGCACTACTGGATTAAAACCACCAAAAGAGTATATAATGAATTATACTCTGGTTAAAACATCCTCAAAAAACAACAGCAACCCCTACCTGTCACCAGAGCTCATCTAACCTCCTGGCCCCAATGCCTGGGGGAAGAGCCAGTTTGTGAGAATCCTATCAAAGGCTAACATGAGAGCCTGCCATGGTATCTTCTCACCAATAGACAAGAGATGCTGCCACTCTTGAGAAAATAAAGTAACTGTGTAGAGTTTTATACAGCCAGAAGATGACAAGAATGGATCACATGATTTTTCTTCTTCTAAATTTAAGTTTGAAGAAAATCGATGTCAGAGAAACAGGAACATTTGACAGATAACGATAGTTTGACTTAAATGCTATAACATACATCAAGGAATTTTCTGTCTATCTTCTAGTAGAAAATGGAAATGAACGTATCAGTAGGAAATGGAGGTATGAAGTCTCTCATTCAGAATCAAAACTGAATACCAACTTTGTGTTATGTATTTACATGTCAAGTTGCTAGATTTTACAGTTCGTTGGTTGCACATTCACTCATATAATACTCTTTAGAGTTGTGTGAATTGTATGATGTATGGATGTATGTTTTTATGTAAGTGTGGATGGTGCGAAGTGTGGATTCATTCCTATCTGTAAGCAGGATGTATGAATTTATATTATAAAAGAGAGATAATCAAACTTCAAATCTTGCATGCAGCCTTCTGCAGAGCTCTCTCTTGTTCTGCTTATGTCTGCATCATAGTGAGATGTTTGAAGGACAAGAGAGTAAGAAGAAAGGAACCAAAAGGAAGTGGGAGGGGATCGTGAGAAGGATAGCATTCCTACTGTAGGGAGCTGGTTTCTCATTCTTGTCTTGTTCTTAGATTGATGGTACTAACTGATTTTGCAGATCAATCTAAGACAGAGGTGTCAAACTCGATTTCATTGAAGGACGCATTAGAGTTGTGATTGACCTTGGGGAGCTGGGGTGGGCATGGTCAGAGTGGACATGGCCAGCTCGATGTCACTCATGTTGGGGGCACCTGTGGAGGCCCAAATGGTCTGGTAGCAAAACCAGAATCCTGAGCTCCGTTTTCACCTGTGACAGCTTTCGGCAATCCTCTGTCAGTGAAAACTGTTAGATCGGCGGCTACAACAAAAACAGAGCTTCACTAGCTCCGTTTTCACTGGCAAAGGCACTATGGGTTGCTCCTTTGCTGTTTCCAGAGGAGCCCCGCGGACCAGATCTAAGCACCTCATGGACCGGATCTGGCCCCCGGGTCTTGAATTTGACACCCC